TTCTGCTTTTCTTTTGTCATTTTGGCCAATGGTTTATCGATTTTGTTGATCTTTTCAAAGAATCAGCTTTTGGTCTTGTTAACTCTTTCAATTGTTTTTCTGTTTTCTACTTCATTTAATTCTGCTCTAATTTTTATTATTTCCTTTCTTCTGGTACCCAAGGGCTTCTTTTGCTGCTCTCTAATTGTTCAAGTTGTAGGGTTAATGTTTTGATTTTGGCCCTTTCTTCTTTTTGGATGTGTGCATTTATTTATTGATTTCTGAGCACTGCTTTTGCTGTGTCCTAAAGGTTCTGGTAGGATGTGTTTTCATTCTCATTTGATTTTGTGAATTTCTTTATTCTGTCCTTAATTTCTTCTATAACCCAGTAGTTTTTGAGTGAGGTGTTTTTCAGTTTCCATGTGTTTGACTTTTTTCCCTTGCTTTTTCTGTTATTGATTTCTACTTTTATGGCTTTATGGTCAGAAAAGATGCTTTGTAATATTTTGATGTTTTGAATTCTGTTAAGGCTTGCTTTATGGCCTATGTGGTCTGTTCTGGAGAATGTTCCCTATGTGTTGGAAAAGAAAGTATACTTGGCTGCTGTTGGGTGGAGTGTTCAGTATATGTCTGTGAGATCAAGTTGGTTGATTGCGGCATTTAGATCTTCTGTGTTTTTATTGAGCTTCTTTCTGGATGTTCTGTCCTTCACTGAAAGTGGCATGTTGAAGTCTCCTACTACTATTGTGGAGCTGTCTATCTCTTTTTCCAATGCTGTTAGAGTTTGTTTTATGTATTTTGGAGCCCTGTCGTTGGGTGCGTAAATATTTATTATAGTTATGTCTTCCTGGTGTATTGACCCTTTAATCATTATATAGTGTCCTTCCTTATCCTTTGTGGTGGATTTTACTTTAAAGTCTATTTTGTCAGAGATTAATATTGCCACTCCTGCTCTTTTTTTATTGCTTGCTTGGTATATTTTTTTCCATCCTTTGGGTTTTAGTTTGTTTGTGTCTTTAAGTCTAACGTGTGTCTCTTTTAGGCAACATATAGATGGATCATGTTTTTTTAATCCATTCTGCCACTCTCTGTCTCTTCATCGGTGCATTTAGTCCATTTACATTCAGCATAATTATTGATAGGTATGAGTTTAATGCTATCATTTTGATTTTTTTTCTGTGTTGTTGACAGTTTCTTTGTTCCACTTAATTTTCTGTGCTGAGTCACTTTTCTTTACGTATTTTCTTCTCATCTTTTTCATTTTTGTTGATTTTGTATTTGCTGAGTCTTTATGTTTTTCTTGTTTTTTATTTTGATCTGTAGGATTGTTAAGTTTCCTTTGTGGTTACCTTAATATTTACCTCTATTTTTCTAATTTAAACCAATCTTTTGTTTCTTGATATCCCCTTGACTTCCTCTCCATATGAAAGATCTATGACTACATTATTTAGTCCCTCTTTTTTGTTTTAATGTTGTCATCTTTCACATATTGACCTCTCTCTTTCCCTATTTTCAGTGTTTTAGCTTTGATTTATTTTTGTGACTTCCTTATCTGGCTTGATATCCGGTTGTTCTGTCCTGTGTTCTAGTCTTGGATTGTTATCTGATGTTATTGATTTGCTAACTGGAGGACTCCCTTTAGTATTTCTTGTAATTTTTGTTTGGTTTTTACAAATTCCCCAGACTTCTGTTTATCTGGAAAGGTCCTAATTTCACCATCATATTTGAGAGACAGTTTTGCTGTATATGTAATTCTTGGTTGGCAATTTTTTTTCCTTCAAGGCTTTATATTGTTATCCCATTGCCTTCTTGCCTGCATGGTTTCTGCTGAGTAGTCTGAGCTTAGTCTTATTGACTCTCCTTTGTAGATGACTTTTCATTTATCCCTAGCTGCTCTTTATCTCTCTTTATCTTTGGTTTTGGCAAGTTTGATAATAATATGTCTCGGTGACTTTGTTTTGGGATCTACCTTATGTGGGTTTCGATGAGCTTCTTGGGTAGACATCTTCTCATCTTTCATGATATCAGGGAGGTTTTCTGCCAACAAATATTCAACAATTCTCTCTGTATTTTCTGTTATCCCCATTATCGTACTCCAGTCACTCATAGATTATTCCTCTTGATAGAATCTCACATAATTCTCAGGGTTTCTTCATTTTTTTAAATTCTTTTATCTGATTTTTCCTCAAATAAATTTGTGTCAAGTGCTTTATCTTCAATCTCACTAATTCTGCCTTCCATTGCCTCAATTCTGCTCCTATGACTTTCTATTGAGTTGTCTAATTCTGACATTTTATTCTTAATCTTCTGGATTTCTGTTCGCTCTCTATGGATTCTTGCAGCATATTAAATTTGTCATTATGCTCTTGTATAATCTACTTAGGTTCCTCTGTTGCTTTGTCTGTGTGTTCCTTGGCTTTTTCTGTGTTTTTACTGATCTCCTTCCTGATCTCTTAAAGAGGTCTATATATTAATGTTTTGAATTCTAGCTCCACTAATTCCAAGAAGTTCTATTCCTTCAGAAGATTTCTTGATTCTTTGTTTTGAGAGCTTGCTGAAGCCATCACAGTCTGCCTCTTTATATGATTTGTTATTGACTGTTGTCTCCAAGCCATCAATAAGTTATTATATTTATTTATTTTATGTTTGCCTACTGTCTTAGTCATCTAGTGCTGCTCTACCAGAAATACCACAAGTGGATGGCTGTAACAAAGAGAAGTTTATTCTCTCACAGTCCAGTAGGCTACAAGTCCAAATTCAGGGCATCAGTTCCAGGGGAATGTTTTCTCCTTAGGCTCTAGAGGAAGGTCCGTGTCATCAATCTTCACTTGGTCTGAGAGCTTCTCTGCGCAGGAACCTCAGGTCCAAAGGACGTGCTCTGCTCCTGGCACTGCTTTCTTGGTGGTATGAGATTCCCATGTGTCTCTGCTTGCTTCTCTCTTTTACATCTCAAAAGAGATTGGCTTAAGACACTATCTAATCTTGTAGACCTCATCAGTATAACTGCTGCTAATCCACCTTATTACATCATAGTGATAGAGTTTACAGCACATAAGGAAATCACATCAGATTACAAAATGGTACACAATCATACAATACTGGGAATCATGACCCAGACATGATTAACAGATATTTTGTGGGGACACAATTCAATCCATGACACTTATTGTGTCCTAGCTTCTTGTTTTGTTTTGGTATATCCTAATAGGCTGCTTTTGTGGGCTAGTTTGATTATTGGCACCTTTGAAGCTCTGTTGTCCTGTCCTCAGGTGGTTAGATCTGTTACTAGGTATGTGAGCCCAGGAGTCCATTTACTTTTCTTGTATGGATTCAGCTCAGGTGTCCAGGTAGTTGGTCAGCAAGTGTATAGCAGGCTCTCACCTACAGTCCTAGATGGGCAGGGGTGATTGGAGGAGGCACAGTATCTGGCTGCAGTAGGGGGGGTCACACATTGAGCAGGACAGGGGGCTGATGGCTGCCCCTGAGTGACCGGGTGGAAGGCATGTCCCTGTTCCCTAGAGCTCACAGGTGGGTGAGTTGTGCAGCCAGACTATGGGCACCCAATGCTGTTGGCTGTAAGTACCAGGAGTCACCACTTATTCTTGGACCCCTGTCACGGGTGGCTTGGTGGAGTGAGTGGAGCCACCAGTCCTCAGGCCCCTGATGTGAGCAGGTGAGGACCCTGCTTAATGGGCAGTGCAGTGTCAAATGTCATGAATCTGCCACTCCCCCTTAGAGCTGATACAGTTGAAGATAGGCTTCAGGTATATACCCTGTTGTACTGTGCTAATGAGGGCCTATGCTATTGAAATGGGCCCACATAGGTCTAGGCAGGGGTGAAAGGCATTCGAAGTCTGTGGACCCCTTATGCCTGTGCTGAGACAAAGGGGCTGCGCCTGCCCTGTGTTCCTGGCTTAAGGGAACTGGCAGATTATTTTTTGCTGTTTGTTAATTTGTTCCCTCTCCAAAGCCAGGAGAATGGCTCAGGGCATGCAATGGGTCCTACTTCTAGCTCAGGGACAGTAGCAATCACTGAAGCCAGACCAGGACCCAGAGCAAAGTGGGGAGGGGACAGGTAAATGGGAGAGAGACACTTTCCAAAAGGGTTTTTTTTTTTTGACCCGTGTGGTAGGTTAGAGCCTTGTACTTATCTTTCACCGACTGAGCATCAGTTCTGGAGGCTTGAGCAGACTCTCCCCTGCTTGATCTCTCCCAATGTGGAAAACACATCCCGAGCACCACTGCTTGCCTCACCCCTTGCATGCCAGCTGATCCAGCCTCCTGGGTGCCAGTGCCGGCCAGGTCAGATCTGGCAACTCCTTGCTGCTTCTGAACCATCTCTCCCTCCCCCTGCTGCTCAGTCCAGTTCCTCCTCTTTATCTTTGATATTCAGGGCTCATAGATTGTCATATATAATCAATTCACTTGTTTTTTCGGGTCTTTGTTGTAAGAGGGACCACAGGAAGCATGACTACTCTGCCATCTTGGCCCCGCCTCTGCTCCACATTTTTTCTTGAATTGCAGACCTTCCATCTGGGATCATTTTCCTTCTGCTTGCAGTACATTCTTTAGAACATCTTTTCTCACTGGGGTTCCCTAAGAGAATTAAGCTGCAATGCCTTAAGGCACACATGGTATCTAACTTCTCTGGTATGAATCCTGGCCACTATCAGTAAGAGCCTTTACTATACCTAGATAGCCAACGAGTAGCAAGAGGACAAATACTCCATGCCAAGCTTTGCTGTCACACATGTTGGAAACCAACAACAAAATTGCTGTTTTTTCCCTGATTGAATGTGATCCCTCTGGCCACCTTGGAGACACACAGGCTGCAGGGCAACCTAGAGACACTGTTTGTTGCCGCCACACACACATACACACACACACACAAGCATACACACAGCGAAGTGACCAGTCAGCGTGTAAGATAGTCTCTCTGGGATGGAGAGACTGGTAATTCTTATCTGCCCCTGGGCCGGAGGCCTTTCCCTTCCTCCCAACCGATTGTGGGGAGGTAGAAATAAACGTTTGCTTTTATTTTATTCATATTTGCCTAAAATCACATTTGATTACAGAATAAGAACCTACTAAGAAGTAAGTCTTCACCTAGATCAAAATCATTAAAGTCATTAAAGATTTTGAAGACTTTTTAAGGTCTAAAAATAGCCATCATATGGATACACTATAATTTACATAACAATTTACCTACTGTTATTTTTGTGTGTGTGTTATTTTTCACATTTTTGCTATTGTAAGTAATACTGTGTTTGATATTCTTGACATAACTCTTCTTGAAAAATTACTTGTAAATGAACTCCAACCATCCAAGAAACGTGTTAAAATAGAGTCTTATAGGTAGGGCTTATCCATGGATTCGATGTATAAGCCGCTCATCATTTTCTCAAACAGGATGATCTGGGAAGAAAAAAAAGGTTGACAGTAAGAAAGGGGAAGCCTATTCAGTACAAGATGGGAAAGATACTAAAATTTATACTCTGGGGGTGAGATATCAAGGCAGAGGTGAGGCAACTCACCTCATTGTCTTCTGGATGAAGCCAGGCCCCAGGAAGGTAAAGTGATTCCTGAGGTCCAATATGCCAATATCGCCCAAGGTTATGTCCATTGATAAACACAAATCCATAATTCCATCCCTGGAAAGAATGGAGGCTTGAGAACATAAGAACATTCACACAAGCAAGGTAAAACCTAAGGCACTTGGGGAGTGAGAATGAGACTGAGATGCTTTATGGCACTGAAAGTAAAAATGAGTTAAGGAGAGGATATGTCCTATAAGTTCTGTCCTGCTGTACCTGATCTAGGAATGACAGAGAAAACCATAAATGGAAACAACCCTTTAATGGTAATATGTATTATTGTTATTTCTGCCCCATGTGATATTTTTGAAAAAGCGGATGTTCTGCTTACCAGAATTAAGTAACAGGTAACAGAAATGAACTCTCTTGCTGACAAAAGCTAGAAAAGCTACATAAAATAAATGTTTTAATCTACTTGCAATACAGTGAAGAGTTTCAGCACCAAGATTTCGAAGAAGAAAACCCAGAGACAAGAAGACATTGAGGCATTTTTTCTACTAGAGGCATCTGTATATTCAGGAACAGGCGGATGAAATTAGATATTGGGCAGCCTTATTAAGTACTCCACACTCTGGTTGGAACCCTAAGGGGTTACACCCAAGGAAGAGAGTAAATTAGAAATAATCCAGGCCTCACAAAGGTTGAAAATTTGTTTCAAATCATTTTAAATCTTTGTAATTGGAGTAAGGTGACCTGGAATTGCTAGTGTCCCTACTCACCTCCAGAAGTGAATGTAAATCCTCTGAAGGATGATAACATCATCTTAGGCCTTGAATTATTTCTAGCATTTTTCATATATAATGACTGACACTCAATCAAAAAAATAATCAGGCAGATGGGGAAAAAAAGACAATGTGATCAAAAACCAAGAGGAACAACAGACAATGGAAACAGATACACAAATAATCCAGATAGTGAATTTACTAGACACAAACTTTAAATAACTATACTTAATAAATTAATACATGTTTAAGGAGATAAAAGACAAGACTGAGAATTTTGACAGTGAAGTGGAAACTATAAAAAAGGCCAAAGTTATATAATGAAGATTCTAGAACTAAAATAGGCAATCATTGAAATTAAGAATTTGATGGATGTTTTGAATAACAGATTAAAAACAAAACAAAACCTGTTGCTTTAAGTTGATTCCAACTGGGTGGCTCAAGTGATTTGCAGTCAGCTTCTAACCTAAAGGCTGACGGTTCAAACTGGGTTTGTGATTGGCTGCTAACTTAAAGACTGATGGTTCAAACCTATCTAGCGGTGTCATGGAAGAAAGGTCTAATGATCTACTTCCATAAAAATTACAGCCAAGAAAACCCTATACAGAAGTTCTACTCTGTCACACATGGGTTCCCCATGAATAGCAGATTATTGTTGTTGTTAACTGCTATCAAGTTGATTCCGACTCATGGCGACCCCGTACATGCAGAGTAGAACTGCTTCATAGGGTTTTCAAGGCTGTAACTTTTTGGAAGCAGATTGCCAGGCCTGTCTTCTGAGGTGCCTCTGGATGGGTTTGAACCACCAACGTTTCATCTAGTGGTTGAGTGCTTAACCATTTGTGCCAATGAGGGATTTCTATGAACAGCAGATTAAACAAAACCAAACCCACTGCCGCTGAGTCGATTCCGTCTCTCAGCAACCCTACAGGATAGAGAAGAACTTCCCCATAGGGTTCCCAAGGCTGTAATCTTTACAGAAGCAGACCTCCACATCCTTCTCCTGTGGAGCGGCTGGTGGGTTCGAAACACCAACCTTTCAGTTAGCAGCCAAGTGCTTAACCACTTTGCCACCAGAGCCCTTGAATAGCAGATTAGACACAGCTAAATAATTAGTAAACTGAATAATAAGTTAGAAGAATATTTCCAAAATGAAGCTCAGAGAAACAAAAGAATGCAAAATACAGAAGACAATAAGACAAGATGATCTAACATATAAAACTAGTGTCTATGAAATGTCTAATTAAAAGACAAAGATTGCTAGATTGGATTTTTAAAACGTAGTTATATGCTGTGTGAAAAGAAACATCTAAAATACAAGGAAATAAGAATGCAAAAGGATGTAATATGTAAACCCTAACCAAAAGGAAGTTGCTATAGCTCTATTAATATTTTAAAAAGTACACTTTAAGGCAAGAAGCATTACTACAGATAAAGAGGGATATTTCCTGATGATTAAATTCTTGATTTATCATGAAAATATATACATATATATATATATATTTAAATTTGTGGAAGCTAAAAATAGATTCAAAATACATAAAGCAAAACTGACAGAATAACAAGAAATAAACAAATTCACAAACATAGTGGGAAATTTTCATAGAACCACCTCAATAGCTGATAAAGCAGACAAAAATCAATAAAGATACAAAACATTTGAAACAAAGTGATTAACAAAATTGAACTAATTGACATATATAGAACATTGATCTAACATCTACAGATATACATCTTTTTCCAAGTGGACATCAAAGCATTTACAAATTTGACCATATGTTGAAATATAAACAAGTTTTGGCATATTTTAAAGTTCTCAGACAGTGCAATTAAATAAGAAATTTATAAGAAAACATTAACTATAAAATATCCAAATGTTTGGAAATCAGGAAATACACTTCTAAATAACCCATAGGTCAAATTAGATATCACAATGTAAGTTAGAACATATTTTGAATTCATTGATGATGAAAATAAAATACATAAATGCATATGGGAATCAACCTAATCCATGCTTAAATGAAAATTAAAAGCCTAAATTCATATATTTAAAAAGAATAAAGACTAAAAATTAGTGATCTAAGTGTTTATTTCAAGAAATTATGAAAAAGAAAGCAAATAACTCATTTTAAAAAATGAATAAAATAATAAAGGTAACAGCAGAGACTAAAGAACCAAAAAAGAAACACATAATAGAGTAGGAATCAAAGCCAAACGTTGGCTCTTGGAAAAGATTAACAAAATTGATAATGCTCTGAAGAGATTGATAAAGAAAGAAAAGCGAATGCACCATCTGTAACAGAAATGGAAACGGAACATTACTAGAGGTGACCTAGACATTAAAAATGAACAAGTTAAAGGCAATACATTTGAAAATTTAGATGAAGTGGAAAAATTCCCAGAAAAATACATTTTATCAAAACTAACTTTTAAAGAAACAGGAAATTTGAATAGTGCTTTAAACTTTCATACAAAGAACATTCCAGCCCTAGGTGGTTTCATAATGAAATCTACCGAATATTTAAAGACTAATACAAATCTTACACAAACTCCACTTCCCAAGTCATTTTATGAGGGCCCTAAATCTTGGTACCAAAACCTGACAAAGATATCTCAGTCATGAACACAAGTAGCAAAAAAAAAAAAAAAAAGTCTATGACTTAATTACTTATAATAGCCAAACACTAGAAATAACTCAAATGCCCATCAACAGTAGAACAGTTAAGTAAATTATGGCATATTCATAAAATGGAATCCTACACAGCAGTGAAAATGAACAAATCACAACATCAATAAATGGATGAATCTAACAACGTTGAAAAAAAGAAGCCACCCTAAAAAGAATGGTGCTGTAAAATTCTGTTTACATGAGAAATGGGGAACACTGAACCAGAGTATTAGAAGTCAAGATAGTGTTTACCTTTAGGTGGGGCAGTGATTGGGAGGGGTGTTGACAATATTCTATTTTTTTTATCTCAGTGTTAATTACATGGTGTTCACTTTGTGATAATTTATTGATCTGTAAATTCATATTTTGTGTATTTATGCTATGTGTATTTACACATTAAAGAAGATATACTAGGTACAAACTACTCCTCCCCCTAAAAAAGCAAGTTGCAGAATACAATTTATGGTATAACACTGTTAGTGGAAAAAATGATTGTGTGTGTATCTAGAACACCTAGCCAAAGTTATATATGAAAACACCCAAACTGTGGGCAGTGTTTAGTTCTGAGAAGTAGAGACGTATTGGAATGGGGGTGGGTTTGCTATATCCCTTTTGTCTCTTATTCTCTTTACTCTCTACATCTTGTAGATTCAGACTATATTAGAAAGACTGAGAAATGTTGGAAGCATTCTTTGGAAGTGAGGAAGAGTAGGAAAGAAGAAAGAATCTCTATCAAGAACACATGGCTTTGTTTCAGGGCTCTTTAAGAGTCGGTGGTTGGAACACCAGGACAGAAGAGGGCAGTTCACTTACCTGCAGTCTCAGAAAGGTGTCCTTGGGAGAAGGGCCAGCCATCAGGGTACCGAGGTAGAAAGCAGGGCCCAAATAGCTCTTTGGGACAGGCCTCCAGGTAGCAGAGCGCAGCCTGAGAGAAGAGCCAATAGTGAGGGAGAAGAAAGTCCCTTCCCAGCTTTAGGTCCAATACTGACCCCCAAGTTTCCTTCTCAGAGACTAGGATTCTGTTTCCAGCTCAACAACATGGTTTCAGTGGGATGTATTAGACTAGAAGGATTAAAATCAGAATTATAAGTTCTAGGGTTCTAGTCTTGATTCCAAAGCACACTATAATCTTAAGCAAATCACTCCAGGTCTCTGAATGCTGGGTTCTTTATCTGCAAAGTGAAGAGTTTGAAATCAACCATCTCTGAGTTACCTGATTACTCTAAGCGTCTATTGAGCGTAAGCAGGAACATACCTCTCAAAGAAGTTCATTTTCATTTCCAGAGAATAGATAGTGAAACCTTTCAGGGGAATGCTATTGATGCCAATAAATCCAGTTAATCCTACAGGTGGAAGGTAGGAAAAAGAATATGAACAGGGACTGGATATTCTCTAGAGTCGGGGACAAATAAATACAGACATGTATGCTCTTTGTGACAAGGGCTCACCCACAAGGGCAAACACTTGTCTGACGTGCTATGTATGACTGAGGGTGTCTTATCATATGTTTCCTGCATACATCCTACCAAGACAGTTCCTGCTTAACAGCAGAACTTTCCCTGAAATTCCCCAGAGGAGCTTGCGCACTACTCCAGGACAAGCAGCTCCAAGTCTAAGAAGGGCTCCTCTTCACAGAGAGGTCAGAGCACTGGAGAAGGCAGAGGAGAGAGGCGGGTGCACATAGGGAAAACCTCAGTGGCATTATAGAGAAGCAAGAGTGCAGCCCAAAGGCCCTTGCCCCGGGCCCTGGGGAGGAAGAAAAAGTATAAGGAAGAAAATGTTCCTAACATTTTTAATGCTTAACATTTAAGAATTCAAGCGCTTTGAATTCTTTCTCACCCCAAAGATATATCTACAAATTTCCTTTAAGTAAAAGGAAAGATAGCTTTTTAACAATGAATTAATACTAGAAAACCTAACTGGGAAGGAGATTTAGGAAAGGGGCTTAACTGAGAGAGTAGCACCCCACATAACTGCTCCACTTTCCTCCCTGCAGGACAGGGGCAGGGAAGGAGTTTGCAACTTTAGTTCTAGGGCTTTGGTATCCCACTGCCTTGGGGGCCCTATCCCAACCCCAACATAGCCCCCGTCCCAGGGGCCAAACAACTATTGAAGAGAAGCTAGGGCCTCTTCTCAGGCCCAGAGCCTACCTTTCTGTTGCTCTTGAATTTTCCATGAATAATTGACTCGTCCTTGATTCTCCACCAGGATCCTCAGAAGTTGGCAGCCCTGTTTTGGACAGTCTAGCTCATGGAGACTGTGGGGCTTTTCCTATAGAGTCCTTTCTTTTCTCTAATAGGAGGCCTCAGACCATGTAGCCCTTAGCTCTTCTAAGAACCCTGTGGTATTCCTGTTCCATATCAATCTTCCCCTTTCCCCTCTGCTGTCCTACTTGGAAAGATAGACAGACTTGGTTGTGCCATTTATCTGAGACCCAAACTGGGGCTGATGAATGACTCAGGGCTACAGGAGCAAAAGAACATCTAAAGGGGAAATTCCAATCGCACTGAAGCTTAGAGGCTGCAGTTCCTGATGTATCCAGGCCTAGGGGATGCAGTTATCCTTATAGCCTTACACACTTCCTGATGGTACCCTAAATTAGGAGCAATACAGAAGGGTAGTGGTAGGGAAAGGAGGGAGTCTATCTCAGGACCAGGGCATGTTTGCATTTGATCAACACCCAGACCCTGGATGTTGTTGTTTTTCTGTGCCATGGAGTCGATTCTGACTCATAGCAACCCGATAGGACAGAGTAGAACTGCCCCATAGGGTTTCCTAGGCTGTAATTGTTAAGAGAGAAGATCACCAGGTCTTTTCTCCCTTGGAGCTGTTGGTGGGTTCGAACCACCAACCTTTCAGTTAGCAGCCAAGCACTTAACTGTTGTGCCACCAGGGGTCCTTCAGACCCTTGATACATACCTTGAATTTGGGAATGTCCAAGTCCTGAGTGTTGTCATCCAGAACTCCTATAACTGTCTCATTCAAAAACACCTGCAAAAGAAGAGCTGGATGGAGTAAGACTGACAGACCATCTAAAGAAAGGGAGAAGAAAGACTGGTTTAGTCAAAAGGTGGTTGTTGTGAAAAAAGTGGTGGACCCTGGTGCTTCCAGATGGCCAGAAGCTGATGGGAAGTTGCAGTAATGCAATATCATTAAAGCAAGCACAATAATGGACACCCTGGCCCCCTCCCATTGGACTCTGTATGGGTCAGGAACTGAGATAGGTGTCTTAGTTCAATGACTGGGTCCATGCCAAAGAGAAAGGGACAAAAGAAAGAAGAACAAAGAATCACCCCAGATGGGGAAGGGCGTGGCAATGACAACTTTCCCTGCACCTTGTGATATGGATACAGTGGGTTGACCCTCAGCCCCCACCCCATCCCCCTTCTGCTGAGCCTCCGTGCACTGTGGAGGCTGGAGAGTTCAAAACTCCACTTGGACTTTACATCTAAGATTTCAGTCATGATTTCACTTAGGCCAATCAGTTACGCATGTATGAAATTTCAATGGCAAAAATGAGGTAGATGCTACATTTTATAGCTTTGGCCATTTCTTTTGGCAAACGTGATCACTGATGAGTAGGTCTGCCTGCAACTGCATTAGCAGAGGTCCATTGACCAGTCACCAGCTTTACGGGTGTAGAGATGCCTGTAGCTGTGTAGCCTCAACTGGCATTTATCTTCCCTCCTGCATTCCACGCACCAGTCATCATCAACTTCTTTCAGGCCCAAGAGCCAGTCATGCTCTCTTCTTCACTCAGGTCTTCACCCACGTTATTCACTCTGCTCAGAATATTCCTCCTCTCTTTCTTCACCTCACTAATTCTGACCGATCATCAAGAGTTAGCATCGACAGCATGTACTCCAGAAAACGGCCCAGACTTCCCAAGGCTGGATAAGGAGCTCACCTAAGGGCTTCACAGTTGCCTATTCTTTCTCATCATAAAACTTCCCACACTGACGGAGCCAATATTGATACAGATTCTCCATTAGACTTTGTCTTAATTTCCTAGTGCTGTTGTAACAGAAATACCACAAGTGGGTGGCTTTAAAGAACAGAAAAACATTTTCTCACAGTTCTGGAGGCTAGAAGCCCAAATCAGGGTCTTGACCATGTTTATTCCTTCTTTGCAGGTAGTCCTGGGCAATCTTTGGTTCCTCGGCTTGTAGACGATCTTCACATGGTGTCATTCCCCACTCCCTGTGTGTGTCTGTGTTTGTGTGTTGTGTGTCTGTGTCTATGCGGCTCTTTATATAACCCAGAAGTGATTAGGTTTAGGATCCACCCTACACTTCAACTGTTTGATTAATTACATAACATCAGATTGCATTATGGAAAGTGATTATATTATATTACATTAAATATAAGGTCTTTACATTACATTACATTACATCCACAGGTATCAGGGTTAGGATTCCAACACATATTTTGGGGGGACATAATTCAGTTCATAACAAACTTTAAGTTGTGATAAAGCAGAAAGCAAGTCTATTTGTTTTAACTTTGTATTCCCAATGTCTAGCACGTGTTGTTGGGTGCCGTCGAGTCGATTCTGACTCATAGCGACCCCATGTGACAGAGTAGAACTGCCCCATAGGGTTTCCTGGACTGTAATCTTTATGACAGCAGATTGCCAGGTCTTTCTCCCAAGTAACTGCTGGGTGGGTTCAAACTACCAACCTTTTGGTTAGCAGCCAAGCACTTAACTACTGTGCCACCAGGGCTCCTTGTCCAGCACACAGTTGGTTCTTAAAAATACTATCAAATAAAGTCGACTAGTCACTACTTTCCCCAGTAGCAGAGTTAGGCTAAAAGTTTTGCTTACCACCATGGACAGCCCGCTGACCCCTACCTGTGCCATATCTTGAGCATGTACATACAGATGACCTCCAGAGCATATGGTAGTCTCATAGAGTACGAATCCATAGGACTGTCCACTTCCGTGGTTTATAGGAAGATTCTCCATGTTGACTGGTGCATTAGATTTCACCGGCTGTGATGGAGATATGGCAAAAACAGAAGCCAGGGGGATGAGAACTCAGGAATCTTCTTTCTAATACCCTTATCACTTTTTGTTGTGCCACCTAGTGATCCCCAAGTGTTCTTTGGATGGGAACTACTAAAACAGATGCCATGTGATAATGCTCTTGTACTTTATATCTCAACTAACCAGAAAAGTAAGCAATGGTGGGGAGATGGTGAAGGAGGAACAATTGCTTTAATCATGAGAATTGATTAACAGAGTAAATAAATTGTGTTCTAAGATAACTGAAGTCTAAGAGTTATTCACTAACTAAACATCTATTTAGCATTTATAATATCAGTCACTATTTTTTTATACAGTAGTGATAGCAGAGGTTATAAAAAAAACCCAAACCAAACCCGTTGCCATCGAGTCAATTTCGAGTCATAGTGGCCCTACAGGACAGAGTAGAACTGCCCCATAGGGTTTCCAAGGAGCGGCTGGTCGATTCGAACTGTGGACCTTTAGGTTAGCAGCTGAGCTATTAACCATTGCGCCACCAGGGCTCTACCAGGACTCTTAGCAGAGGTAAAACCAAAGTGAATCTAAAAATTATATTTTTCAAACAAATTTCACCTTTTCTTCAAAATAGGACAGGTAGCCTAATTTTAAAGAGAAAGCAGAGGCCCACAGAAGTTCAGTAAGCTAGCCTAGTTGATGGTGGCGAAGCAAAGACAGAAACCCAATTTCATGGGTTCCTAGTTCAGCAGCTTTTCCCATATAGCTCATGCAGTCCCACACAGCAACATTTATCAGAAGGGGGAGCTTCAGTTCATCTGAGCTGGGAAACAGGATTCTCTTAATATCCTGTTACCCCTATTTATTCTTCAAGTTCAAACCCCTTCACAGTCTACCCTGAAGGAGTCTGTGGCTCTTGTCCCACAGTTCTAAATTTGGACAAAAAGTAGAGGATTAGTCTTCATACTCCCCCATAAAAAGCTCCTTGAGGAAGCTCTACTCTGTGGCCCAAGGCCTTCTCCCTCATCTCTCCAATGGCCACCCCTATCCCAGTGCCCAGACAGCACTAACCTCATTCAAGTACTCGAGGACATCCCACAGTGGCAAATAGAGTGAAGGTCTTACAGCAGGATACACAGTCTTGGGAACAAGATCAGGTAAGGGAGGCAGGGGAGTTGCTGCAATGAACATTGGACAGGGATCTAAAATAACCGCTGCCTTCTTTAAGCTTCCCCATCCCTATCATTAATTCTTTTATCCCAGAGCCAACAAGAGAAATTAGTCCTAATATAGGACGCAGGCATGCCTCTCCAAGGGCAATAATAACCAGGCCATAACTAAGTTGGAGCTTTTGCTGATAAATACGGAGACCTCTAAGAGGTTATATTGGTCTTACAGACTGAGGGCTCTTAAGGAGTAAGAACTCTGCCTTATACCTTTTGGTAACACCAGTTTCTAGCACATAGTAGATGGTTAAATCAACTTTATTTAAATAGATAAAATTAAACAGAACAATTTTTGCTATCTATACCATGAGCTTACTATGTCATACATTGTAGTAAGAGCTTTACAAATAGTAACTTAATCTTCACAGTCATAGTAGGAGATAGGATTATTATCTTCATGTTTCAGTGAAGAAACTAAGTCTTAAAGGGCTTAAAACATTTATGCAAATCCACACAGCTTTTAGTAGAAAGCCAGGATTTGAAGTTAAGGTTGCCCTTGCTTTGAAGTGCTCCATTAAACTGCTGTTCCCAGGGAAATCTTTCCCTTTCTTCATCCTTTCTCAGAATACAGATATTTCATGAGGACCACCCCTCAAATTTAAATGGCTGCTGAGTACCTAAGATGGATCCAAAGAGTTTTCGAAGCCTGAAATATTTTTCCGTGTAATCCCCTGCCTCTGTCAGCACAGCGTCATAGTCTGCAAGACACCAGGGACCTGTCACTGGCCATTCAGTTCTCTACAACAGTCCCTGCTTCAGCAAAGAGCCATGAGGGATTCCAGGACCGGCAGTGGGGTCGTAGCCACAACCTGGAGACAGAGAGCTAGCCAGAAGGAAGACACCCCCTTCCCTGACTCCTGGGAACTTTCCATGCTAGGCTCGGGTGCAGAGTGGAATGCAAGCCTAAGAATCCTTCCTATGACCTTCCCTGGGGGTTAAAGGCTGCTGTACACTGGGCAGCACTGTGTCACTTTCCATCCATACTCTTATCTTTCCCCAGTCTGGATGGCCCAGCTGTACCTGCCTGTGTGCACATGGCAATCACCATTCATATGCTATCTCTGCTAGAAGGTACAGAGGACTGGCTCAAGGCAAGGGGTTGGTGCACAGATGGGTAATGGAGAGCTACACAGCCACAGGCTGTTCCATCTACTACAAATGACAGTCAACTGGGGTATTATTAAGATCACAGAAGAAAGGAAAATAGCTATGAAAACCCTCAGAATCCCAGCATATTGGGTCAAGAACCCAATGAGGCACAAGTATGCTTTTAGTGCCTCCTCTATAAAGCTCCAGTGACACCCGTGCTAGGGAGGTGACCACACCAGAGAACACTTGCCATAGCTTGTGACAACACCTCTGTGCTTCCCAAAATATGTAGCCCCATTCATGAAACCGAAGTTGGTTCCACCATGGAACATATATGCATTGAAGGAGATCCCGGCTTTGACAAATTCAAGCACAGTATGTTCAACCTCTGTGGAGAGAGAAGATGAGAATATGGAGAAAATTACAAAGTAAGAGGAGAAAGAAGTCTCTGGTGAACTCTTATCACTCTCAGCCCCACCCCACAGTCAACTTAATTGTTTGTTATTCAACCTCCACTAAAATTCCAACCAGAACATGGGTAGAATTGGCCAGAACTATGCTAGAAGACCAAGTCCTGTCAACATCAAATGCTATTTCTAAAAGTTATTTTCCCCACAGTATTGATATAATTTGCCTACTAAACTAAATCTATTAAATAACAGCCTAACAGCCCTTATGTCACCTAAATATCTAATTTTCATTAAATTTTTTGAAATTGTACAAGTAATTAGTGTGCCGTCATTACTACCTTCTAGGACAATGTATCTGGGGACACTGGCTTAGAACCACTCTACTTAGAGTCATCTCTAATGGCAAACACTTACCTTTCGCATCTCTAACGAAGTGTTGATTTCCCCATGTGTCGAACCATCCAACCCAGAATTCCATAATCATAATGGGTTTTTTACTCTAGAAACAAACCAGATCAAATACTAAGTCTACACAGCAGATGAGAAACAAAAAGAAAAACCAGAAAACAATCCAACAGATGAGAATTTGAAGAACTCAGGTTTTTTGCCTTTTCCTCAATTCAGCTCTTTTCCTTTTTGATCCAAAATTCCTTACTTTACCATCCTCTCACCCATTATACCTTCCCTCCACCCCTCCTAAATGTCTGTGGCCTTCAGGCTCCTTCCAGCTTTATGTCCCTCCCTGCTACACCTGGAAAACATCATCAGTAATCTCAGCCTAGCCCTACCGGAGACGAGTGTTGGAAGAGAGTTGGCTTTGGATGCACAAGACCTGACTGCACTTCTTCCTGCAGAAGCTAAGGCTCAGAAATCACACTGCCAGTAACGGCAGAGAAGAATTCAAATCCAGACCTGGGCCTAACCTATTAACCAGTAAGTTAGGTTGTCTGTAAGTACACTGTTCATTTTCTCTATATCTTTATTTAATTTTAATCTAGCTTATCGGTGTTGGAGTGTCCATTGTAATTATGTTTCTATTAATTTCTTCTGTATATCTAACAGTTCTTGCTTTTATATGTTTGTTAAACAATTTGGTATATAACAATTCATAAATGTTATCATGTATTTATGGATTACACCTTTAGTTTACATAAAATAATTATCACAATAAAAATGACTAATATTTATTGAGGAGTCCCTGGGTGGTGCAAACAGTTAAGTGCTTGACTATTAGCCAAAAAGTTGGTGGTTCAAACCCACCCAGAGGCACCTCAGAAGACAGGCCTGGCAATCTGCTTCTGAAAGGTCATAGCCTTGAAAACTCCATGGAGCAGTTCTACTCTGCACACATGGGTCACCATGAGTCAGAATCAACTTGGCCACAACTAACAACAACAATACTTGTTGAATTTTTACTATGTACTGGGGCACGCTTCTAAGTACTTTATTTAATTTGTTCTGTGTTACAGACCATATAAGATAGGTACCACCTGTCCCCATTTTACAAATGAAGAACTGAGTTCAGGTAACTTTCCCAAGTTTACAAAGCTAGGAAGAGCTAGAGCTGGGATTTGAAACCAAGAAGCCTAGCTCCAGAATCCATAATCTTAACCATTACACTATTTTGCCTCTTGGTTGTAAATGACTTATTAACTAAAACTAAAATAAAACACACCAAAGCAATTTCCCAAACTTCTGAACTTATGCTAGTCTAAAAACAAGTCTTTCTTTTTAAGATTCATATTATAGGAATAGACTCGATGGCAATGGGTAAACTGTCAGAAAAGGGGCCCTGTGGCACAATGGTTAAGAGTTCAGCTGCTAACCAAAAGGTCAGCAATTCGAACCCACCAGCCACTCTGCTTTATGGTTATCTGCTCCCATTAAGATTACAGTCTAGGAAGCCTGAGGAGCAGTTCTACTCTGTCATATAGGGTCGCTATGAGTGGGAATCGACATGACGGCACACAACAACAAACTGTCAGATGCGGTAGTGCGTTCAGCCTGATACCTGCATTCATTTCTAGCCTACCATTTTCAAGGCTGCTGAACAATGTAGATTCCTTTTTTTTTTTTTTAAAGGTGACATCTTCTCCCAGTAGGTCTAGATTTTGTTGTGCCATGTATATTAGGATGGGTGATGATGGCTTGGCTTCTCTGGGGTAATGGTTGAGGCCTCTGCAGTATGCATTTTTTAGCATCATCAGCCACAATCCCGGAGCCTTGCAGCATCCTGCTATAATTCACAGTGATGGCACTCAGCCGGAAAAGCTGTCATTCTAGGACTTTTCTTAGCTAATTGCCAGGGTGGAGACGTTTTCTGGATCCCATGCCTTCTTCTATCTCGGTTTATTCCCTTATTTCCTGGACCCTTCAGATGATTCCATAAGGACTAAGGTGTGCCTGACACAAGCCATAGTGTTTTCAATCACCTCATATGCATGTGAAAACTGGACAATGAATAAGGAAGCCCAAAGAATTGAAGCCTTTGAATTATGGTGTTGGCAAAGAATATTGACTATACCAGGGACTGCCAAAAGAACAAACAAATCTGTCTTGGAAGAAGTACAGCCAGAATGCTCCTTACAGGCAAGGATCGCAAGATGTCACTTCACATACTTTGGACATGTTATCAGGAGGGACCAGTCCCTGGAGAAGGACTGGTAAAGCAAATGTTCAGTGGAAGAGAGGAAGACCCTCAATAAGATGGATTGACACAGTGGCTGCAACAATGGGCTCAAGCAGAGCAACAACTGTGAGGATGGTGAAGGACTGGGCAGTGTTTCATTCTGTTGTACACAGGGTCGCTATGTACAATGGGAAATAAATGTTCTCAGTCCTTACATGTCTGAAAATGTATTTATTCTACCTATGCACTTGATTAATACTTAGACTGGGTATAAAATTCTAAGTTGAAATTCACTGATCTTCAGAATTTCAGAGGCATGTTCCTTTCCTTTCTATCACCCTGTGTTGACATTTTAAAACCTATACAATTCTGATTGTTGTTGCTTTGTATGTAAGCCTATGGTTTTCCCCTCTGTAAGTGTTAATTTCACAAGGTAGGTCTTTTTACCATTCATTGTGCTAACCACTTGCCGGTGCTTTCAATCCAGAGATACATATCCTTAGTTATAGGCAATGTTCTTGTGTTAGCTATTTGTAATTTCCTTTCCTCTGTGTACTCTGTTCTTTCTTTCTGTAGCTACTATTAATAAGATGTTGGGCCTCCTGAATTGATCCTATAAGGCATTTATCTTGTCTCTTATACTGTACATCTTGTTGTCTTGTACTATTTCTAGGAGATTTCTTCAACTTTACCTTCCAACTTTTATATTTAATTTTTAATTTCAAAGAGTTTTTTTTGGTTTTCTGATTATCCCTCCTAATATCCTGCTCTCATCTCATGGATAAACAATCTTATACCTTTATATGCACATTAATAAGCATTTTTCATATTATATTGTTTCCTGAATTAACTCTCTATTCCTCAGTTTCCCTTTTCTTCTTTATTTGTAGTTTAATTATTTTCTCATTGGAAACTTTTATTAAATAAATACAGATCCTTGATTTTCAACTTATATTTAAGAAGGAGGAATGATTTCTAGTCTTAAAATGATACTTTACTAACAGTGTTCTTGATTTTCTCATCTTGGAAATTCTCAAAATCAAAATGAGTAATTAGAATGGAAACACAAACAATATTTTCTATAAATTTAAGAGACGTCTGAAACTTCCAAATATAAAGTAAGAGGCAAGAGTGCCAAAAGCACTGAAGATCTATCAGGAGTACAAAAAAACTGCAAAGACAGGATGCCTTTCACTAACGATTTTAGGAAAGGCTACGGAACAAATTTCTCCTGAGAAAATATTTCCTATAGTGTCATATTATCTCCAACAATGTCTTATTTGCAATTACAGAATGAGGTGCACAAGCTGACAAAAGGAGTACACCCTGCATAATTCATTGTATCAGAAGCTTGTTGTTGTCGTTAGCTGCCGTGGAGTTGGCTCCAAATCACAGTGACCTTATGTATAAAGGAACTAAATGTTGCCTGGTCCTGTGTCCTCACAATTGTTGCTATGTTTGAACTCACTGTTGCAGCCACAGTCAATCCATCTCACTGAGGGTCTTCCTCTTTTCTGTTGACCTCTACAAAAGACCAAAAGACAAAAGTACAATGCCTTTCTCCAGCAACTGGCCCCTCCTGATGACACAGTAAGCACGACACACTCTCACCATCCTTGCTTCTAAGGAGCATTCTGGCAGCACTTCCAAGACAGATCTGTTTGTTCTTCTGGCAGTTCATGGTATATTCAATATTCTTCACCAACACCACAATTCAAATGCATTAATTTTTCTTCAGTCTTCCTTTTTCATTATCCATCTTTTGCACGCATAGGAGGAGACTGAAAAGAGCATGGCTTGAGTCAGGAGCACCTTAGTCATCAAAGTGATATCTTTGTTTCTTAAGTAATAAAAAAGGAACAAGAACAGAATCTATTTTAAAAACTTACTAGAAGAAAAGAAGTAAAAACACAAGAAGAGAAATTACCGAAGAGAAATATTCACTAAAATCTTTCCATGCTACAGGTCAAAACTGTGACTGAAATATATGGCTGTACATAGGCAAGTTTCCAATCACTTCAATAAATCAAGAGCATAAAACAGAACTGAAAATGCTCAAGGAAGACACAATAAGAAAACATAGGGAGCTAACGTATGACCTGAGAGAGTAAAAAAACCAATAGAAAAGACAGACAACCATCTCAAAAAATTAAGTCAAAATTGTAAGTAGCTAAAAGTAAAATAAACACTGTAAGAGACATGAAAAGCAAGGCAGCAAAGAGTGAACAAAATTGAATGGGAATGAACATACAATAAAAAGTGTCACAGGGAAACACTCCTAGTGCAGTCAGTGAGACAGTCAGTGAGTTAATGCTAACCATACTATCTGACCCTTAATCAGATTTTCACTTTATAAGCTTGGAGTCACTAGGGAAATGTTTGCCCTCAGTGGTCAAAAGTAGGATGTGAAACAATGTGCCCTGAGGGGTCCTGACACAAGTGTCCATCTGTACCCCTGAGAATGCACATACTTAGGAAAAGTGCTGCTGCCAGTAAGATGTTTGTGCCAGACAGATGAAGAAAACGTGTATAAGCCTCCTGTGACCATTGTCTAAGCATCCTGTAACTATTATCAGTAATCTTTAATTTTAGCCATTAATGACTAGTAACCAGTCTTTTATAACTGTACCCTATAGACCAATTAAACACCTTTCCCCTGCCTCACTAGATCCCTCCTTGCACTTCCCAAATTGAAGATGCACCAATCAGAGGTGACCTGCAATCTGTTCCTGCTTTAACAGTATAACTGTCCCATGACTGGACCCCCTCTTTGGACATAACTGTCCCACTTCTATGGGCTGTGTTGTTTCCAGTTCAAACTGTAACCTACGGCTAGAATATACCTCTGTGATTTTATTTTGAACAGTGTT